GTGGACTGAAACAAGTCGTTTAAAGTTATTTATCGTATTCCCACTAGTTTCCCTTATGGTGTTCAATCTCGTCTCTTACACATAGCAAAAGCTATAGGAATTCGAGCCAACAAGCCAAGTCTTTGTGTTCAGAAGATATCTGTAACATCCTTATCTCTCCCTTGGCCTTAATAAATGAATTTATTTATTATTTTTCTTCACTCCTCCTACCATTTTATTTTATTTTCCCTCAAATATATGTTTAGCGGTCCAATTATCTGAACACTTCTTATTACGTCATCTTATAATTTATAAATGTTATCTCACTGTCTATATTCTTCTAATCATTGACCTATTTCCGATTATGTAATGAGTTGTCGTGGTGTTAAGTTTGGTGCTAAAAGAAGATAAACAGTTGTGATCAATTGAGTACAGTTGAACAGCATTACCACTGATTGTAATGGTTTACGCTTCCATGAACCGTTAACGTCGAGTTCTATGAGACTATTTAAAATTGGTTCCCTAATCCCGACTCAGCATTTCGAAAAGATCAGACTTGGGCGTCCTATTTTATAACATTCAAGCTTTAAAACTCATTCGACTATATATATAATACTAAATGTAAGGAATAAAACGCTGTTGTCTATGGATATGCCATAATAAGTTTCCCTTGTTATCATTGATTCATAAACTACCTTGATTGGTTTAATAATTTTGTATATGCATATAAATATTACTGTATATTAGAGTACAGCCTGATGAAGATCTGATTGAAAACAATATTGTTCGCTTATATCTATGTTGTTCTAAATTTACAATATGGGAATATTTCAAATTTAGAATTTTTAACAAAATTGAAATAAGAATGAAATTCAAATTATACTTGTCGCCTAATTTTTGTCAAACTATTCGTTTTAATATTGACGAATATCTGTTATAAATAAAATTTAGATTTTAAAATTTCTTTTAAGATATACTTGATTATCAGGATAATTCTATTGATAGGATCAAATAATTTATTGGCTTATGTTTTTTTGTAATGACTTTACAAAAAAATATATGTAGGTTTAGCTAAACAATATGATTAGTAATGCAAAGGTTCGGCATCGTATGTTCGGGCACAGAGACGATAATGCAATTGGTGTCACCATCTTAAAACACCGACTTCGGTGGCTTGGGCATGCTCTGCGAATGTCATCCCAGATAATTCCACGTCGTGCATTATTTGCTGACTCTAGGACTGCTTTTGTGGCGCATATGTATTTGGTGCCCTCTTGTACCAATATTTATGTGTTCAAATAAATAAATAATAAATAAATGTTTGATTAGCCAAAATGATGAACATAAATTTATCTAAATTTAAAATAATTTATTTTACTAAGGCAGTTGTTTATTGAAAAGCTTATCTATCACTAGTGATTTTACTTACTTGGTATGTTCAAACAAAGTAGAATCTAAATATATTTAGGTTGTTTAATAGTTGCTTGTTATTAAGTCTTTGTTCTATGTGATATATTAAAGCAATATATTTCGAACAATCTAGTTGATCTTTTATTTTTATATATAAATATTCTTAACAAGTATGTTATGTGTGATCAGATTGTTCGAAATGTATTGCGCTAATATATCATCACAATAATTCTGATAATCTTTGTCTTCTTATTACATTATCGAAATCTTTGTTCATCGATTTAGCGTTTGTTAAACGCAACTGAAATTAGATGAAATACTGTCACCAGAATTAATGAATAGAAATTAGGATCACAAAATCAATCTTTGAGTTTATCTAACTATCTTGAAGTTATTATAAGCAAGAAATTTTATGAAAAATCTTATATTTCTAAATAAAATTCTATCATTTTAGTACTATTTCTGTTAAACAATATTAAAATAAAACAAATTGAACTGAAAATAGAAATCTCAACAAAATAAGAAATTAAACATGTTTACTTGATAACTTTAAGAAATAATTCTTGATTACAATTATTAAAATGCCAATAAACGGAATCCTCAACAACTCCGTCAGTTGAAAGACAAAATATCGAAAGTACAATTACCTCCGCCCCACCCAAAAAAGTCAACTGATGTTGTACTTCTTCCCAGAATCCCATTTGATTCCTGTGCATTTGCTAACTTACATAATGATGGAAAAGTGTTGTTAGATTGAACTCCAGAAACTCTGTAAATGAACTTCAATTTTCTATACTTCTTGTTAGACAGTCTATATACGGCATATCAATTAAGACCTTGTGGCTAGAATGCAATGAAAAGTAAGACTATGTGATGATTTTACATAACGTATAAGTCTTCTATGGTTTTTAATCAGTTTTTATTACTTGTAACCAAACCATTTTTGTCATAAAACATCATTCATTCGAAATATCTTATCGGTTCACAAATACTCTTATAAACCGTTTCTCACAGCTTTTACAATATATATATGTAGACTAACTAAAATATCGAGGAACAGCATCATGAGATAACGATTTAGAAATTTTCTAAGTGAAATCCTTAACATGTTCAAGCAATTTAAAGAACACAAGAGATTTATTATTTAGTTTGTCAGTAATCATATGATATAATCTAAATTTTCTATTGAACAAAGGCATGAGAGACTAATTCGTGCAAAAATCAAGAGCTTTTATCCTAATTCGGATTGATTTGGGAGTATAATATAATTATACCAAAATAAATTATTGATAAAATCCTGCAGGAAACGGATATCTGTATCAAGTAATTTTATCAATAAGCTTAAATTTATAAAAATAAAAAAAAACTTTTTATTCTGATATTCTACTGTGTTAACGAATATGTTATGTCGTTTGAGTCAATTAGTTATAAGCAAAGTAGAACATGGGAAATATGTTTATTGATTGATTCAAGTTGCCACACCAGGTTAACATAACGATTTGATGTTATTAAGAAAAATGTCAGGGTAGTAGAAGTAATAACCATCAGTGATAGTAGAAAAGATTAGATATAAACAAAATGCTACGAAGAAAAATTTGTATTCGTGGAACATTAAGCATAAGATAATTTTACGACTCACGACCTCAGAGGAAATACAAGTGATTGAATCTGCACTACAGCGACCGATTTTAATCTCTATCACTTAACGTCTCCAATCATTGGTTACAATAATCGCATAAAACCTAACGAGGTAGTTTGTACTTATTAACGTGGTTCAATCTAACTATTACTGACTGCATAATCTGATACCAAGTATTTATATGACTGCCCCTAGCTTTTTTTCAGTCTACTCATACGCCATCACACATCAGGCACCGAGGTAGGTGATGTTTAGACATATGTAATGCATGACCTAACTACCTCAGTTGATAAAAAATTAACTACCCCATCAAGCAATCTATCATTTCTTTTTGATCAACCCCTATAGTGCATTTTACGACTGAATATAAAAATAAATATCAATCATATGATTATGAATTAATTAACATTACATTATGAATATGTAGTGCTATTTATAACAGTAAAATAATATTAAGTAAACCATAAAACAGACAATAAAAATATTGTCCCATTATAAACTGATTACATAATTATGAGAATCGGAAATGAAAAAAAAAGAATCTAAACAGGAATTCTTAATGTCTTGTTAAATTATCCTAGAAAATGATCCAAGATTTTAAAAAAAAGATACAGTACAAAACGTTTAACGGATGCATAATTTAAGTTTGTTTTTTATGAAAGTTTTTGTAGCATTCACTGTATATAAAAGTTAAAGTCATACATAACCATAAAATATAATAGATGAGTTTCAATAGGATAATTATTTTCTATATTTCCATTATATTGAATTCATTTTCAATATCAATTAAATATACAAAAAATGGAGTTTCGTTTTGAAAATAAATTCAAGTATAATAATGAATTTAAGTAAGTTGGTTTATTGATTCTTTTTTCATTTTTTGTAACTTCACATATTAGTTGTTAAGTAGAAAAATAAAATCGATTTCACCATCGAGATAATCATGTTTGATCTCTTTTTCTTTTCTTTTTTTCTTTTCTATTTTTTGATAAATGTTAATTTGTAAAATCAACAAATAACATTTTCACTAAGTAATTTATGCAAAAATACAATAAATAAACAAAATACTTGTATATCAAATATACATATTTTTTGAAAATTGTTATTGTCACTGTTGACAAAAACAAATATCTTGTATACCAATATGATTTGTTCTACAAATAGATAATTTCCATGGTGATAAATTATTTAAATAGAGAGTAGAGCGCAAATAAGTGATATATATATATATATATATATATATATATATATATATATAGTATGAATATTCCCTTTTAACATGAGAATTTTTGAAAAGAGTATACAGCTGGTTATTCCTAGGAACTAGTCATGTCAAAAACTTTACATTTAATTCTCAGTTTAATTCCCGAGTGCGGAATCGTAGGTGCACATTGCCGAAGAGTACTGTACTAGGACGAAAAATTCTTTCAGTGCTTTCAGGTTTTCAGTGATGGTCTAATTTAGATCGTTTTGCGATTTCAATGAAATTCAACAATTTTTACAACCCCATACTGAAAAATGTTATGATCAAGTTTAATTTATGATTGTGTAATGTAGATTTAGTACGTATCAATTCAATTTAGTTTAGATTGAAACCGATGTAGGTTGTGGCTGGATGTAATCAATATGAAATCCTGGACTTCGGTTTCGTGTTGTTTTACACTCGTTAGCAAGGTTTACTTGTAGTTGTACCTGGTTACTATCAGGTAATCAAACTATTGGAAACCGATAAAACTTATTTCACAGACAAAATTTTATAGTAGCGCTTATTGACATGATTCTAAAATAAATTTCTTTGCCTTCTTTTTTTGAAGTATGTAGTGATTTTGTTTAGAAAGACAATAAGGTTTAAAGGTTAAATCACCCATCTCATACTCTACAACATCCCCAAAACATATATTTATATATATCCTTATGTATAATCGAATTGTCTTGTGATTTTAACCGTTTCTCCTATAAAATCCTACTTTAGGGTAATACTCATTACAGTATAAATCGTACCACTCCGTTTGGACGTAATGCTGCTTTTACAACACCGATTGATCAATATTTGAATAGTCGGATGCCATGTGAAATGCAAGTATATTCACGTTAAAAAAATAATAACAAGAAGTTGAATGAGGCAGTTGCCTCTATTTATTTATACCATTTATTTATAACTGTGCATCATTTTACCATAATAAAGCAAAATAATTATACTGCTCTAATTTTTCGGAGTAATTCATTGTATTGTATGCTAAGATTGGTATATATGAAAAGAATATGTGAGATCGAAATGAAAAAACTATCATTTAACTATTCAGTTTACTTTAACACTAAAACCGACTGAGGGGCATATAAGAGAATATTTGATGGGCCTCGGAAATAACGGGACGTTTGTTCAACATTCAATTACTAGATACAACTAAACAAATGAAATTATATGAAAAATATAGTTTACCACTAAATTCAGGTTAAAAGTTTGTAAATGATGAGTTATTTTTTATTTAAAACTCATAAACAGAAGAACAACTGTCAGTCTGAACACGAAACTGGAATTAAAAGAAAAGCTAGGATATGGTGAAGGGTAAACGATAAAAACATTCGCATTCATATTCAAAACAGCGGGATAATTTGAAAGCATAAAAAACAAAAGAAATAACTCGGATGACAGGTATCGAGCTAAAACCCCTTATCTACTATGATCAACAAAAAACCGGGTGATAAAAGCAAAAATCAGAAAAGATGCTTAGCAACCCACTGTTCAACTTCGATTTAATCAAATGATTATGCTTACGAAATGTAGGTCCCGGCTGCCCTCGTATATAACTATCAACTTAGTTCACGTAATTAAATAACGGAATAAAATAAACTTAATGCGAGAATAAATCTTGGATACGTGTATTTCATACACTTCATAAATCAGATAGACAATGAGAGAAACGAATCCAGGAAGCAGACGACAGAAGACAATTGTGCCAACTCAAATGAATTAAGGGTGAAAATATTATATCTAGATAAAAATAAGACCAAGATGTGATGAATAGATAGAGCGACACACACAGAAACGCACATAAAAAGTTAGACTGATTGGCGAGTAAACGACAAGGTTAAAATATGACCAAAGGCGAATAACTTAGCAGATACTCAAGCAATCGTAAAAATAAGAGCACGAAAAAGTACCAGAGAAAACACGGAGCGAAATAAGGAAAAGGAGGAGATCGTTGAAAATTAAGACAAAACATAGATAAAAAGTAACGAACAGGGGGAAAAGAATGAAAGGAGAAACGGAAAACTTAACCAATGAACTTTAGCATATTAGAAGAGTGAACAAGAGCAAAACAATAGCAAAACTTCCGGAACAAGGTCATCGTTCAGTAAGCGATAAGCCGATCTTAGATCACCATGTATTCCATATTAAAATAACGGAAATAATTTGAAATATCTTAGTCTGCCTTCATAAGATAAGCCAGAAAGATTGTTCACCACTATAGTCCCTCGTAGTAAAACTAATTCCAGCATATTTGCCTCAAACGTGAAAAAACAATTCGCTGCATTAGAATATCATTTGACGAAAGTCGGGTATAAAAATCTAAATATTTCGTCATCAAAATATAGAAAAGAAAAACGCATAGCCCATCATAACATATAGCACGCAGAAGGTCCCCGGTTCGAACCCGGGCCGAACCAGGATTTTGACAAATAACACCTGTCCACGCAAATCACGAACTACACTCCTCACATTGGAGACGTATCATACTCACCGACACTGCCAACAGTGTCTTTTTAACAAGCTGACGCCGTCAGAGACATCCACGTCGGCCGTGCTCACCACGAGTACGCCGATGTGTGGTTGGCGTCCGACTGTCGACACGATGACTGGTAGTTCTGTGATCACCCGTATCAAGTGGCCAGGTCGATGCAATCTTTCGAGTGAAGTCGGATAGACCAATTCCCTGATTGAACAGTCCACGTCACCTACTGTCACACTTTGATATCCAACTGTGAGGAGCACTGGACGCCATTAAACAAGTGAGACGATTCATCAATTCCTGTGCCTCACTCACCATGAACTACAGACAAGGAGCTGACACATTGTCGGACAAACACATCGAGAGGAACACGGAAGCGCTGAATAATTGAACAAATATCCGATTCACGTAATCACGGACTGATTGTACAAGTGTGGTTGTGTGATCTGTTTAGTTTTCGACTATCAGACTCAATGTGCAGAGTAGACAGTGTGATGAGTTGGTGAGGCTGAAGTGGAGTGTAGGAAGGATGGACTGCTGATATGAGTGTCGATTTCTGTGACAACCCATCACAAATGATTCCCAGTTGACATTCATTCACTCATTCATTCACTCACTCACTCATTCAATCAATCACTCACTCATTCAATCAATCAATCACTCACTCACTCACTCACTCATTCATTCATTCATTCATTCATTCATTCATCAATGTTTGACGGATCCTGCATGTATTTTATTGTCGAGCAGTGAGAGATGCACGTAATCTGTATGATGCTGGAAACCACACAATCGTACTCCGAGACACAACTGATCAAGTGAATCTCTCACCATATCAATGATCCAACAACTGACAAGCAGTCTGGACTTCGTGTGTGCGTGTGGCTACGCAGAATCAGGTTGTCTGATCAGTGATGAGTATGTCAGTAGATTGTATAGTTTTGCTTAAATTGAAGAAAGTTTTCACGACTGGATCATTCGAAGGTGGTGACTCCTTCTGAAGAAGTCGTCAAGACTAGTGTCGTCGAGACTAGTGTGGCCACCGATGTCGGTTGATGTGGACGGTTCGACAGCCTCGTGGTGGATGCGACACTGGTGGTCGAGTGATCGGTGAGTGCTGTGAATCTCAGGGAATCGAGTGTAACGCGAAGGATGCAGTTAGACTTGTGTGTCTTCCTAAGTATTGTTTGGTTGTTCGTCACAGTTATTAATTTGTATTTGGATGTGGGCAGTTTTGTGGTGGGTGGTATGTAGGTTCGGTGAAGAGGTGTGAATGAGCGAGAATGGTGTGAGTTGGTGGTTGTGTTGTTGGTTGTTGATGAGTCGGTGCTGAGTGTTAGATGGAGCGAGATGTTGACGCGAATTCGGGTTCGGTGGTGTAGTGGTTATCATGTCTGCTTTACACGCAGAAGGTCCCCGGTTCGAACCCGGGCCGAACCAGGATTTTGACAAATAACACCTGTCCACGCAAATCACGAACTACACTCCTCACATTGGAGACGTATCATACTCACCGACACTGCCAACAGTGTCTTTTTAACAAGCTGACGCCGTCAGAGACATCCACGTCGGCCGTGCTCACCACGAGTACGCCGATGTGTGGTTGGCGTCCGACTGTCGACACGATGACTGGTAGTTCTGTGATCACCCGTATCAAGTGGCCAGGTCGATGCAATCTTTCGAGTGAAGTCGGATAGACCAATTCCCTGATTGAACAGTCCACGTCACCTACTGTCACACTTTGATATCCAACTGTGAGGAGCACTGGACGCCATTAAACAAGTGAGACGATTCATCAATTCCTGTGCCTCACTCACCATGAACTACAGACAAGGAGCTGACACATTGTCGGACAAACACATCGAGAGGAACACGGAAGCGCTGAATAATTGAACAAATATCCGATTCACGTAATCACGGACTGATTGTACAAGTGTGGTTGTGTGATCTGTTTAGTTTTCGACTATCAGACTCAATGTGCAGAGTAGACAGTGTGATGAGTTGGTGAGGCTGAAGTGGAGTGTAGGAAGGATGGACTGCTGATATGAGTGTCGATTTCTGTGACAACCCATCACAAATGATTCCCAGTTGACATTCATTCACTCATTCACTCACTCACTCACTCACTCACTCATTCAATCAATCACTCACTCACTCATTCAATCAATCACTCACTCACTCATTCAATCAATCACTCACTCACTCACTCACTCATTCATTCATTCATTCATTCATTCATCAATGTTTGACGGATCCTGCATGTATTTTATTGTCGAGCAGTGAGAGATGCACGTAATCTGTATGATGCTGGAAACCACACAATCGTACTCCGAGACACAACTGATCAAGTGAATCTCTCACCATATCAATGATCCAACAACTGACAAGCAGTCTGGACTTCGTGTGTGCGTGTGGCTACGCAGAATCAGGTTGTCTGATCAGTGATGAGTATGTCAGTAGATTGTATAGTTTTGCTTAAATTGAAGAAAGTTTTCACGACTGGATCATTCGAAGGTGGTGACTCCTTCTGAAGAAGTCGTCAAGACTAGTGTCGTCGAGACTAGTGTGGCCACCGATGTCGGTTGATGTGGACGGTTCGACAGCCTCGTGGTGGATGCGACACTGGTGGTCGAGTGATCGGTGAGTGCTGTGAATCTCAGGGAATCGAGTGTAACGCGAAGGATGCAGTTAGACTTGTGTGTCTTCCTAAGTATTGTTTGGTTGTTCGTCACAGTTATTAATTTGTATTTGGATGTGGGCAGTTTTGTGGTGGGTGGTATGTAGGTTCGGTGAAGAGGTGTGAATGAGCGAGAATGGTGTGAGTTGGTGGTTGTGTTGTTGGTTGTTGATGAGTCGGTGCTGAGTGTTAGATGGAGCGAGATGTTGACGCGAATTCGGGTTCGGTGGTGTAGTGGTTATCATGTCTGCTTTACACGCAGAAGGTCCCCGGTTCGAACCCGGGCCGAACCAGGATTTTGACAAATAACACCTGTCCACGCAAATCACGAACTACACTCCTCACATTGGAGACGTATCATACTCACCGACACTGCCAACAGTGTCTTTTTAACAAGCTGACGCCGTCAGAGACATCCACGTCGGCCGTGCTCACCACGAGTACGCCGATGTGTGGTTGGCGTCCGACTGTCGACACGATGACTGGTAGTTCTGTGATCACCCGTATCAAGTGGCCAGGTCGATGCAATCTTTCGAGTGAAGTCGGATAGACCAATTCCCTGATTGAACAGTCCACGTCACCTACTGTCACACTTTGATATCCAACTGTGAGGAGCACTGGACGCCATTAAACAAGTGAGACGATTCATCAATTCCTGTGCCTCACTCACCATGAACTACAGACAAGGAGCTGACACATTGTCGGACAAACACATCGAGAGGAACACGGAAGCGCTGAATAATTGAACAAATATCCGATTCACGTAATCACGGACTGATTGTACAAGTGTGGTTGTGTGATCTGTTTAGTTTTCGACTATCAGACTCAATGTGCAGAGTAGACAGTGTGATGAGTTGGTGAGGCTGAAGTGGAGTGT